TTTCCTCCTTCTACCATTAACAATTGCATGGAAGAATTAAGTGTTACCATCTCCCTCCTAAATCTATTTCTCCCTCGATTTTTGTTTCCAACTTATTTCCTCTCTAAGAAGGGTCTCCTTATTACCCTTTTTCAAAGTCAACCTTAATCCTCTATCTTCCTCTACTAAGAGACCTTCAACTTCCTTTCTATCAAGTTCACTAATTTGCTCTATCAAAGTAGCCTTCTTTTCCTCCACCCTTCTAAAATGCATCTTGTTCCAATCTTTAACGTCTGCCTCAATGATTTAAAAGGCGCGCCTATGCACACAGGCAAGACGCATTTTAGGGTATGCGCCTCGCCTGGGCCCTAGGCAACCCTTTAAAAAAGTGTATGCTTGGTGCGCATAGGTGTGTGCTTGATGCGCCTTGCACCTCAGCCCAAGTGTGTGCCTTTTTAAAATTTTACACTTTTTTACCTTTTTGGAACCTAGCGGTTGGGTTGGGGGTAGAGCCCCAAAGCTCCACAATCCCCCTATTTGCTAATGTTGTTCATTCATTCATTCTAATAAAATATCTTCTTAAAAGGCAATTAAAGTTATAAAATCATTACTTTTTTATGTGAGAATTAAGAATTTAAGACACTAACATGGACTTGTTTGGGCTTGCCTCAAAGGGTGTGGTACAAAGGCAGCTCGTAGAATCAGGAATGCAATATGTTTTACATCAAATTAGCTACTTGAAGTAACGCAATTGGGGAAAAAAAGAGAATGTGGGTTTTACATGCTTGAAATTTTTCATTTGAATACGTTTTACATGTTATGTTTATGTATTTTAATTCTAGATAAGGTTTTTTAAAATATTTATTTTAAAATTTAAGTTTATATTTTTTATTAATATTATGTTTAATATTTTTTATTTTTTTGCATTTTTTTATGTTTTGGCATTTTTTTTATTTTCTGGCATTTTTTTATTTTTTAGCATTTTTCTGTATTTTTGCGCCTTGCTTCATAAAGGTGTGTGCCTCGCCTTGCACCCTATGCCTCAAGCGCAAATTGCATCTTCACTTTTAAAACATTGGCCTGCCTTCAGCTTTTGTAACTTCCTCAAAAACTTTTGTCCCTCCCATTTAGGCCATTGTTGTTGTTCATTCCACCAGTCCTTCACTTTTTGCTTAAAATCAGAAAGTGTAAGCCACGTATTTTCAAATCTAAAAGGGGTGGGACAACCAACAACACCTTGTTGAAACACACAGATTGGCCAATGATCAGAGGTTGGTAATGTTCTCCCTAGCAGACCCATCCAATGTTCATCTCAATCTACAAAAACCAAGATTATGTCCAACTTGGAGCAAATAAGGTTTGCTTGAAGGTTTGACCGTGTGAATCTCCAATGCCCAAAGGGAATATCTCTCAAGTCAAAGGAATCAATAAATTTCCCATACTAAGGCCCCTCCCATAGACCCCTAATGTCTGCCAGCTCTTCCCACATCAGATTTCTTTCTCTATAAGAATTAATCCCATAAAAATTGGCTAAAACCCAAACAAATTCATCCTAAACATTCTCCAATTTAACCAACACAGTAAAGTTCCCTATCAAATCCTCGATGCAATGTACAATATCTTCCTTCCATTCTATTATTATTTCCCCTGAAGCACCCCTAAAAGGAGTAAAGCTCCAATTGATTTCTCCCTCACCCCAAAAGCTTCTCACCCATCTACTATCCAGCTCTTGAATTTTAGACTCCTGAATTAAAAGAATGTTGAGCTTCTCCTTCTTAGTAATTCCTTAGACTTCTCTCCTCTTTGTCGCACTTCCTAAACCCCTCACATTCCAGCTGATATTTTTTATTGTAACACTTTAAAGGTCAACCCAACCCTCCCAACTACTTATCCTCCATCTCACAAGGTACCTCCTTGTACCCTTCCAGTTTCTCCAACACAGCAGCTTCCTTCTACAACCTCCCTTAGTCCCTTTAGTCTCTGTAACATCCTTCTAATCTTCATTCTGTAAGCTCCTCAACATCGTTACATCCAAGGTTGGGCACAACCGCACAAGCAGTAACACCAATGTTAGTAGCAAAAAACTGAATTGACAGAGGTATCAGGGTTATCTAGGGGGAGGATTACCAAAAGTGCTCTAGAAATGGTCCACAAAGATCTTTGCAATTTCATCTTGTTGGATAATTTCCTCCCCTCTATCACCAATCTAGTAACTAGATTCTTCTTTCTCCCATTGGCCATAACATGGAAGAACCTCATGTTACCATCCCCTTCTTTTATCCATTTATCTCTGGTTTTTTGTCTCTCAAAGGCATTCCTCTATTTTCAACAACTCTTCTAAATCTTTCTTCAATCCCCAATTCCCCATATTTTTTTCTTTCTCCTCTTCACTCAGTCCCCTATTAGCCTCCCAATCATCTAATTCTAGAACTTGATCTAAAGTTTCTTGCTTTTCCCCCACAACCCCAAACATTTATTTATTCCATACACCTTCCCCTTGACATTATTCAACTTTTTCCATACCCCAATACCTTCCACCTCTTCATTCCACCATGATTTGATATTGTTCAATAAGGATGGGTGGTATAAACACATGTTCTCAAACCAGAAGAGATGTGGCCCAGCCCCAACAAAATTACTGCACAATTGAATAGGGCAATGATCTGAAAATGGACTAGGGAGAGCTTTACATTCCAATCCAGTCCAATGAGCCTCCCACTCATGCAATATCATGAATCATCTAATCTAAAGCAAGCGGGACTTGTTTGGAAAGTAGTCCATGTGAAATTAGCATGCAAGAGAGGCAGATCTCTCAATACACGGATGTTTATAAACGGGTCAAACTTTCCCATACATGTTGTAATTCTCTGATCGTTCTTATTGGATTCATGAGTGAACCGAATGACATTGAAGGAAAAAAAGTAATACAGTACACATATAGCATCCCAGAGGGAGATAAGTTTATCTCACCCAGAAAAGGAAAAAAAGTAATTACAATTGCCCAGAAAAGGTGTTCCCTGTTTACCCCTCGTTTGGCCAAAGTGCCAGCCAAGCCATTTGCCAACCTAGGTACCCCCTGAGAGTTTATCAAAATATTCCTTGTTAACCATTTAATTTGCTTTAAAACATGTCGATAGCTCCAAACTGTTGTCTTCTCATCTCTGAGCCACACTATCACCACTTGAGAGTCACCTTCAACAACTAATCTTTCTATAACTCACTTCTCTCTCAGTAAATAGTTGGAACATACACATTTGTCAGCAACCATTCAAAATTGCCATTAACATACCTAAGTCTGACAAATACCAAGAATTTACTGATCAGATCCTCCACTCCTTCATAGACTTCTGTAGCCCACAATGTAATGATTCCACCAGATACCCCCAAGAAAGTGCATCTGCCCACCCTATCTTCCTGATTGGCTAGAATAATGATAATCCCCAGCAAACCCTTACTTCTTTTTTTATTTTTGATCAGCAACACAGAAATGATTTCATTAATAAGAAGAAAGTATGGTTACAACAAGAGATCCCCAGCAAGCGTTTACTGAACAGCCAAAATGATAAGATAAAGTACAAAGAGAACTAAAACAAAACTCAATAATAGTATTGAGAAATCACTAAGCCTTCCAAGAACAACCAAAACAAATTCATACAATAATGATAATCCCAAGCAACCCTCTATGGAATATCTCATCCCAATACAACTTGGTTCAAACCACTTCTGAGCAAGAAAAGATACAGGTGGAAGAACTGGCAGATCTTGAAATCTACCTGAATGAGATGTGCACTATGTGTTCAACAAAGATCTACCTTCTCAAATATGTATAGATGTCATGGGTCTTCCTCTCCTCTCATCCATTTAATCACTACCTGAGTATGCCCACCAATAGCGACATACACAAAGAGAACATCAACCTTAAAAAGTTAAAGCCCTTTGGCAATATCTCCCAGCTCTGATGGATGTCCACATTCCCTTCACACCTCAATTAAATACACATGAAAGATACCACCTAATAGATTTCTCAAAGCACCTCCAACCCCCAACTATCCTAGATTCCCAAATATCAATCATTGAAGTTAAGCTTGCATGTCCTTCAGAGGGGGAGGCAGACAGATGCCAACGTTGATATATAATCTCTAATAAAGGTTAATCAAGAAACATATAGGTCCATTGAAAACGTGGATTCAGCCTTAAAAGTGCCCACTTTATGAGTAAAATGTCAAAGATTAAGCCTGTATCCATTCTACCCTGCGGAAACCGGGACCATCACTGGGTAATGGCCTTAGGTTGTTCTGGAAACATGAAGCCAAGCCCCTAACCATGTTAGCAACTGAGTAATCAGCAAACTCATCCCTATTCCCTAGTACATAGCCAGGGATAGTAATAGCAATCAACATCCCTACTTGCATTTCCTTGTAAACCAAAAAGGTATCAAATTTCAAAACTGCTCTATTTTTCTGGAGATCCAATACTAACTAAGTATGTGGCCAGGGAGATTCTGCGGTGATTGCTTATACTTGATTATCTGTGTCTATCAAAGTCAATCATGCATGTTAGGTTTCATCTAAGCAACAAACAGTTTTAAAGGTTGCAAACATATCATATCTGCATTTGAGGAGCAGCTGCAATTTGGTATTTCTCTAATTTAGGATGGATCCAACACTTCACAAAATCAAGCTATAGGTTCACTGATAATTATGATAAATCACAACAGTAAAGTGGGGGGGGGGGGACAGGGCATAAATTTAATTAGTTAATATTAGGAAAGGGCATCAGCAAAATGACTAACAATAGAGAGTAAATAATTTTTAATTCTTACATTAAGTAAGGTAATATTTCCAATTCAACTTCCATAGGTAGAAACCAACATTAATGGTATATTAACAATTTATACAGTTGAATATAAATCACCAATCAGTTTTAAACAAGACCAAAAAAGATTTACTTGAACAAATCTAAAATAAGGCTATAATAACTAACAAGTAACAACTTTGTAAATTAATCTTCACAGAACTTACCTCTATATAGTTTAAAACAGCCTTTTTGACAATCTCATCTTCTTCCTTTGAGAACCGCTTACCACGCACCAAATCCGTTTTTTTGTTTTCTTCCCCAAAGTCTGTGGCATCAGGTGGAGGGAAGACCTCTACATGACTTGAAAACTTTACCCTCTTAGATGTTCCTTTAGTTTGGCAACCTTCACTTCTGTCCTCCTGCTTACAAATCCTTTCCTTTGCAACCTTGGCCTTCTTCCTCTTGTTCTTGCCATCATTTTGTTGTGTCTCAGTATCAAACACTTCCTTCTCCAAAACATTCTTACTACAGGGGAGTACATGAGCTTGATTATCTGCAACAATTTTGTCCTCTCTATTAACCTTTCTTTTATTACATCTTTTCTCATAAATGACTTCTTTAAAGCAAGATTCACTCGTATTTTTCTTTTCTTTCTTCTTCACCTTTTTTGTACATTTTAACTTTTCTGAACCATCTTCTTTGGCATACTCCATTTCCCTTGAAGTTTCCTTTTCATCTGCAATGCTTTTATTTCCCTTAGCAAACACTTCATCGAAACCTTTTATTCTCAACGACTCAATTCTGCTGCCTTCTTTGTTCATTTTCTCTTTTTTCTTTTTTATTATACCCCCACGCTCCCCCTCATTTGCACGCATACTCTCTTCTTTGTCAGGGCTTTTCCGCTTCCTGGTTTTGCTATCATTTTCAACTTCTTTATCACCTACCCAAGTAGAAGCCACAACCTCTTTATTCTTTCTCCGCTTCTCCTTTTTCCTCTTCTTTTTCTCATCAGTTGACCATCCCACCTCAGCTGCAACCTCTGACTCCTCATCTTTACTTGTCCCCAAATTATTGTTCTTCAGACACTCAATAAGAGATGTATCCTTGTGAGTGATTTTACCTTCCATGGCTTTAGAATCTCCATTGTAAAGGTGCTCATCTTTCATCAACTTCTCTCTTTTTCTTTCCTTTTCCTTCCTGTTGACTTTCACATTGGTGGCTTCATTATCACCGTTAGGCTCTCCATACTTCATAGTTCCCAATTTCCTCTTCTTTTTCTCACGCACTTCTCCACTTTCAACTAAGGCATACTTGTCATCATTTGTTCCCAAATCATTGTCCTCATTTTTGTGTTTTTCCCTATTCTTCTTTTTCTTCTTTTCACAATAATCCTTCCTTGTTTCTACCTTGTCATCCTCTACTTTCCTACTGGTTGAAGTATTACCATCAGTCAACTCTTCCCCAGTGCTTAACTCACATTTCTTGCCTTTCTTACGCTCCTTTCTCTTTCTTGTCTGAGGTATAGCATCCTCCCCTTCCATGTTCATACACACTGAGAAAACACTTTGGCAGATTCTGTGTCCTAGTTAACAAATAGAATTATAGAGAACCTATATCCTGAAAGAAATAAGGCAAATAAGTAAAGAACTAAATAAAAGTAACCATTCGGACATTCTTCAAATCAACCCAAAAATAAGGTGAAAAAAAACTGAAATTGCTAAGATGTATTAGGCTTTTTTGAGCATTGCCAAAAATAGTTTTCAAGGCGCCAAGGGATGCTAGGCAACCATGGGGCGCCCAGGCGCCTAGGGAATCTAAAAATAATAAACCCATAGATTTCTGCTCATCCTGAACTAGTTTTTTTGGTGTTATATATTAACCTACAAACCTCTGAACTGATTTTTGTGGCTGTGGTTCTCGCAGTCTTGTTTCAAGTAAGCAAAACAAAATAGTAGAAAAGAAGGGGGCAGAGCCCCTGTTTCAGAAACCAATGATGAGTAAAAAATTGAAAAAAAAAATGCAAAAAAATTAAGAACGAAAGAAGGAGCGGAGCCCCTGTTTCAGTCCAACAAAATGATTCAAAAAGCTTGGGGGAAGATTAAAAAAATGGAAAATGTTCTAAACCAACAAAAAATAGAAGGAAATTAAAGCGTAAAACAAAGAAGAAGAAGAAGATTCACTCACTTGATTAGAGGACTGTGTAGGGAACGATGAAGGGCACATGCTCTCTCCTCTTCTTGTCTGTTCGGTTCTCTCGTCAGTAAACCCTCGAAGTTTCCTCACAACAAAAGATACAATAACATGCAGCAGGTTCTATTATAAAACTAAAAACTAACCAATAAAACTATTGCATATTTTATTTTCCTTTTTATGGTTCAACTATGATGTCAAAAAGACATGATAGAGGAACAAATTATAAACCAATCAACGGACATCATAAAACTAGTAACCAATCAGGCAACGTTTTAAAAAACGACCCGGAACCGTTTTGGTCACCGGTTTCTGGGTTGATGGTCCGACCATCCGGTTCGAATAGAATGACACAAATTAAATAATTAAAAATAAGAAATTGCCAAAACCGTTAAATGGGTTGACGGTTTGACCACCTGAGTAAATGAGTTGTTGACTTTTTTAATGATTTTTTGCCAAAGAACGAGTTTGGGATAAAACGGAACCGGTTGCTTGGACGATTCCCTAGTCGAACGATCCGACTGTCCAGATCAACTGCAACTCAAAAACCATCAGGTGGGTTTTCATCAAATTCATGGGGTTGTGATTTGTGATTGGCAAAGCTTTTATATATGAATGAATGAATGATAGGGATTTTAAAAGTTCAATCCACTATAGAATTGGTCAATTTTTTTTCTCAATGTATTTATGCGTAGCTCCCCTTATAAACATCATCCCCCTGAGCATCTTTCCCCTGATATTGTGTGATTGTATTATGAATTATTAGGTGGAGTGAACAATAAAAACCCCATGATGATATTGTGTTTTTCTGGCATCATAGATTTTCCCTTATATTTAGTAAATAATGTACATTATTTTCGTTTGTAGTTAATTGGCTGCTACACTATTTTTTCGGGTGTTCATGGGGTCGATTTGGTTTGGTTGCAAACATTTAGGCCAACCAAAATCGATCATGTTGAATTGATTTTGGTTAGGTTTTCAATTTGATTGGGCCCATATGTTGCCCTTAAGATGGAAGATGGATAAGCACCCATTCAGAAGATAGATTTTTACCATGGTTGCATTGTTGTAGGTGATACATTTCACCACTCGACAAAGGTGGCGTTTGATTTCACTTTTCAGACATCTGAATATGAAAATGTTGCTTTTCAGACGCCACCCTTGTTTGGTGTTGCATATGAAATAGGGTTTGAAAACTTTTTTCATATCTGAATTTTTTAAACTAAGGCCAACCACTTAACGCGTTCAAACGCGTTTCAGACATGGCCAAAAGTCAAAACTACCCCTTCCCATTCGACCTCTTTTTCTCATCTTCATACATCTCTCTCTCTCCACCCTGTCCTCCGCCACCGCCACTGCAACTTGCAACGACAGTTCTCTCTCTCTCTCTCTCTCTCTCCGCCCTGCCTTCCCGCCATCGCCGCTGCAGCTTTCTCTCTCCCCTTGTCTTCCTCTCTCTCTCTATCTCTCTCTCTCTCTCTACCTCCATCTCTCTCTCTCTCCTCCATGTCTTCCTGTCAACAACTCTCTCTCCACCATGTCTTCCTGTCAATGGCTCTCTCTCTCCCCCTATCTTCCCGGTTCTCTATCCCGCTCTCTCTCTACCCTGTCTTCCTGCCACCGTCGATGCAAGTTGCAACGGCAGCTCTCTCTTTTCCCAGTCTTCTCTCTCTAGCTCTAACTATCGCTCTCGCTCTCTCTCTCTCCCTTGTCTTCCCACCACTACCATGTTGCAGTGGTGGTTTTTTATTAATTATTAATTATAAAGGATTTTTATTAATTATTTTAATATTTTTTATTAAACATTAATTATTTTTTATTAAATTTACCTGTGCTATTTATTATTTATTAATTATTTTTAATAACTAGTAATTTTAATTATTTCATTAATTTTTAAAAATTATTTTAATTTTTATTTGTGTAAATTATTAGTTATTTTAATATTTTTATAGTCATTAATTATTTTTTTAATCTTAATCGTTTCATTTATTAATTAGTAATTACTTTAAAATTTTTTAAAATTATTTTTAATTTTAAAAAAATATTTTAATTTTTATTTGTGTAAATTATTAATTATTTTAATATTTTTATAGTCATTAATAATTTTTTTTCATTTTGATCGTTTCATTTATTAATTAGTAATTATTAATTTTTTATTTTTTATTTGTATTGTTTCAATATTATTTTGATGTTGAAAATTATTTTTTATGAGATAATGCAAATTGAACTCAACATTTCCAAATAGTATGTTCTATGTGTAAAATAGTAAAATTAGTAAATTTCATATGGTAAAGGGTTAATACAACACAAACAAACTTATGGATCCAAATCCTCTAAAAAGTAGAAAAGAATCTATGCCTCTTTTCAGATTTTAGACACTTTTAATATCTTTTTAACTTTTTAGATCTGAATTTTCAGATTTATCAAACACCATCTAAGTAACGTTTTACCATGGTTGCATCATTGCATGTGATAGACTCCTACCATAGATAAGTGCCCTGTTCGTCATAAGCCTATAAATGATACCCAAAAATCTAAGGTCCAATCCAACTATCTCGGATTCGGATGATATATTTATGTAATAGGATTGAATTCGAATCTAACCCCATCCAATCCAATTAAAAGTTGGATCCGATTATATTACAATATTTATTAGTTTTAATATATAATTTTTTTATAATTGTATTTAAAATTTTAAAATATATTCTATATATTATACTATATATGAATTTATATTTATAATAAATTTAAGGGAAAATTCTTGATTAGTACCCTGTACTTTGGGTCTAGTGCCACTTTGGTCCCCAAACATTAAAATGCAACAATTTAGTACCCAAACTTTTAAAATGTGACAATCCAATACCTGTTGTTAACCAGCTGATGGTGCACGATCTGAACACTCCTAGCTGGCAGGGGGGCCGCACTCCAAGCTAGCGATGGACGGTACCTAAGAAGAAGAAGAGGATGAAGGATTCCCGGGGAGCTCGCCCGACGGGAACACTTTGATGCTTAAGTTAGAACTCTGAGAGAGAAAATTGCAGAGAAGATGAAGAAAGCTAGAGTGCAGATAGCGCAAATGCAATTACCTTTGTCCCTTGGGGGTCGGGGCCTTTTTATACTGATGCCCTATCAAATCTGGCATAACCGCCTCTGATTCTCTGCTGCAGCCGTTACTGCCAGACCTGAGGTGGTGGGCGTAGGTAACCGTTACAGGGTACGGCCTTGTCAGGCATGAGGCGTTGTTAAAGTTGGCAGGCACGGCGCCGCCTGGCGAGAGACGTGGGCGTAGCCTCCAGATTCGGTAGGTACGGTTGTCAGAAAGATCTTCCTGCAAGTAGCCGAGCTACCTTGCATTGAGCTTCCTTGTACCGAGATGTTGGTGATGCGTCGGGGTGCCTCTGCTCGAGGCGGGCCTTTGAGGCAAGTATGGACAGGAGCACTAATAGTGCTTACCCGGAGTGTCTTCAGTTTAGGGTGTTCCTTACCCAAGGATCTTAGATCGGGGTGCTCCCTTCTTGAGGAGGAGCTCGGGGGATCCTTACTTGGGGGGGAGCTCGGGACTCCTCACTTGGAGGGACCTCGGGGAGCTCCCCCTTAGGGAGAGCTCGGGGTAACCTGAATACCACCTTGTAGTGAGTTGCTGCCCGCGCCGAGCTTTCAGGCTAGGCTCTAGCGACTTCATCACACCGAGTTGTGGCCAGGATGTCATGTCGAGTTGTCACTTATGTCGAGTCATGCCCACGTGTCCCCTTGTTACGAGGTCGGGCCGAATCACCCTTCATCAATTGCCCCCCACTCCCAGTGCTAGGGGTCTGGACCCAGTGTGGGGAGTTCACGGTGTGACGGGTGGATTTGGCTCGGAGTTCAGGCGTCCAACTAGGCAACTTGTCGGTCAGACCAGTTTGCTGCTCGACTCGATCAATGGTGACCCGAGTCGCGTACAGTTCACGCATGGACGTCACGCGATTTATAGACTCTGTAGACGTCAAAAAATGCGCTAAACCGATTTCACCTCGGAGGTCGCGTATCCGGTTTTCTTGAGAGCCGTCAGATCATCTTGATCTTGACCGTTGATGCCCGAGCATAGCGGCTATAAATAGTGGGGGTCCTAGGTCATTTTTCCCTGCCATAAGTTCTTAGCACTCGCCTTGAGGTCGCGCATAAAGTCCTCATCTCAAGTTCTTCAGCTCGTCCAACTTTCCCAGTTCGGTTGCGTTTCCTTGGGTGAGTCTCCCTAGCTCCTTCTTTCAGTTCGTTTCCAGTTTTTCAATTTCGTAGCTAGCCTCCCTTTGGCTCAATTCAGTCCGTAGCTATGTCTGACCATAGCTTCGACAGTCTCTTAGACGAGCCCAGGGTGGGTGCCCCGGCTCCAGCAGATAGTCTCTTGGATGAACCCAAGGTGGGTAACTCGGGTCAAGTAGGTGCCTCCGAGGCACATTCCACTTACGAGGTGCGGAGGACCTCGGGTAACCCGGCATCCACTTCTAGTCAAGGTCGGGTACTGGACAAGTTCGATCCTTCTACTATGACGGTAGACAGGCTTAGGGGCCTGATAGCTCGGTACAACCTTCCTAGGGAGTACACTTACAACCTTCCTGTGGGCGACTTCCCTTGGGAACACGGTCGTGATGAGATTGTGATTTTTGGGGAGCAGCTCGCGGCCAGACTCTGCCTCCCATTGCACCCCCTCATTGTTGAAGTGTTGAATCACTTTGATGTAACCATAGATCAGCTCCACCCGAACTCTGTCCGAAACGTAGTCGGTATAATTTCAATCTACTTCGACTACGCCCTTCCTCTTGACCATGAGATTTTTTTCTTCCATATTGTCGATAAAGAAAAATGCATCTAGCGTCCTCCCCGAGAACAGGCGGACCTACTTCCTGTCCCCCCGCCCGGGCTTCAAGTTGTTACATAAGCTTCCTAGTAAAGTCCCAGCCTGGAAACGGGACTACTTTGTAGTTCGTAACACTGCGGGGTGGCCCTTCCCTACTCACTGGAGGGTGGCCATTCAAGACTCCGGCATTAGGCTGGACTGGGATACAAGTGAGGTACTTCAGTCTTGGGCGGAGCTCGGCTTCGACTACAAGGACTACCTTG